TTATTGACCGTGTATCAGGAGTTTTAATGAAAATACAGTCTGTAATCGAGAAAAAACAGATAAAATAGTAACATGCTGTCTCCTGTCTGCAGGAAGTCGACACTTTTAGATATAATATACATACAATAGTTTTTGTGGCGTCCTGTCACCGTCCATTGCGGTGGTTGTCAGCTGTTCCTGTACTTGGATTGCAATCAGTGTAAAAACTCGTAAAATTAATTTAGATAAAATACAACCTAGGTATTATAATTATACTAACTGAGTACACATATAATGTATGTGTCTCGCTATGTCAGGACATGGGATATATTATCGTGTAAGCAAACTAAAGCTTCACAGTAGTCTCACAGGTCGATTTTCAATTTCGTATACACAAGCATTGTAAACTTCGTATGGGACCTTTATCGAACACGACGCAATGCGGATGTCAAAGGGCGGTGGTCGTCGAGCTGCGCATGTGCGACATTTGTGTTAATGAATAGTTATTTTCCCACAATCCAATGCGCTCTTCGAATGGAATCACAAGTATAAGGTTTGACCTGGGCACGAATTGCACAATTACCACCAGTGACTCCTTCAATACCTTCCAATCACCTAAAAAAATAGCTAATTAGAGCTTGGTACCGTCTCAGTTTGTACTCGTCGATCTGCTGTCAGAGTCAGAGTCGCCATCTTTGTATACATTGTATATGAGACCCATATATATCGCGCATACGTGGCGCAACGACTATCGCCCTTTATTTTGTTTAAAGCGGGGGGGGGGGAGTCGTCACCTGCGCATGCGTTAGACGGCCATAGCGTGTCATTGTTTACAAACAAGCGTCTATCCACGAGCCTTTGCGTTTTTAGCGTGTTGTGTTGTTATCGTCGCTTGGGACTCAATTTCTGCGCGTGCCCAGGTGACGACCCTCCCGCTTTAACCATACTTTATAAATGACCTGACCTCAGTAATCACGACCTGGTATTTAACATGTGTCACACATTTCATAAAAAAACTGTGTCTGTTTTCCAATGAAATGACAAAATTCATTCAACAAAATTGATGGTAACATTGTGATATTCGATTAGGTGATACATGTAGCTGGTTTACATGCGACGTATACAACAGGCGCCATACGACGACTGTGGCGTGTTTTGCATATTAATTATGATTGAACAAAATGATGAAACACGAGCTTCGCAAGTTGTCGTGTTTAATTACGTTTTTATATGGACAAAATAAAGTAGTTGCAATGACTTTAACCATGCAAATGAATTGAAATATGTAATCTTCGATGTTCGAAGTAATAGTTACAGTAGAAACATCGAGTCATTGTATTTATTTATTAAGAGGCTGAAGGAAACACAAGAATAATGGTACTGCAACATCAAGGTATCACTACAGACTATTATAGTTTATGTTATCACTAAGTATTTTTGATATGGTTAGATAGAGACAGTCCTCGGGATGTCACTGCCATTAAGATGGCTTATCACCCACCCCCGGGAAGGGGGTTCAAAAGAAGAGGAGTTAATGCTGGCTGTGAGTCTCATAAATCTAACCCTGCTAATAATGAAGGGGCCGAATCCCCGAATTATTGACAAGGGTTAACGTTCTTACAAATATTGTGTAATTGCATTCAAATGTGGTTAACAAACGAATTGCTTTCTGCCAAGGAATCTGGTAAGGTGAAGATAATTCTGGTATGAGGAAATAACTGATCAGTAACTGATCCTGGTTTTTACCAAAACCTGTTTTTGGTTCTGCACGAATCAGGCGAGTTGATATCAATAGTATAGACTTGTTACCTTTGAATCTATCAAACGGTCAAATGTCATTCAGGATGGTTACCACACACTCGATCTGAAAGTGTGACATACCAAACAATCAGACTAAGGTGATGAGATCTCAATGATGCTTACCTACACATACCTATTCACCCAGACAGCCAACCTCTGTTGAGGTTTGTAGAATAAATGGTGTTCTACCTCAACGAGGAGGAGGCATGAAGTCACCACTTTTCAACAACCTTATAATGAAAATCCTTCCATCACAACATCAATCTGCAAGTACAACAAGGGGGAAACATAACACACCAGGCGACGCACTATTCAGATTGTGTTTATCAGTAATCGATCACAGATCTCCACAGTGCAGTCAATCTCTGACCACAACCATCCATCGATCCATTATTTGCTACACAATTCTCAAGTAGCTAACTCACCAATACCACTGGTAGCAAGCACCATTCTGGTCTTGTCAAAGGTTGGACACCCCTCTTGTATTTGCTATTGCTTGAGTGCCCAAGCAGATCTCATGACCCAGAACTGATGAAAATACCTCAGTCTGTCTGTGATGCAAAGACTATTCCATCTTCACGCTTACATGCTATTCCCATGCTCAGATTAGCACGAAGTTTTCAGAGGGATAGTCCAGCATTATGCTCCATCTCTGGTTATACTAGTAGCAACTAGTGCTTAGAACACCAAACGCATTCATTCTATTCTATTCTAAGACCGAGTACAGTTTCTCTGTGTGGCCTTTATGTGGCAAATGCAGGCAAGAAAACACCATGCATCCACTTCAGGGAACATGAAGTCTGTGATCAACACTGATGTCTATAAGTTTGTGTAAGAATATCACCTAAAAAGATTCCATTAGGGCCACAGTTCAAGTCTCGCATATTTGGTTGTCTGGGTGACTGCATTGCCGAAAAGTTTCACAACCTATTGCATTCTCCCATTTCAACAAATTCACACACATCACTTTGCATACTCTGCCCATCACCCCATTGCCGACACATCCCTTTACATACTCTGCCCATCACACCCTTTTGCACTCCACAAACTCATCCCATTGCCCACACATCCCTTTGCACACTCTGCCCATCACCCCTATTGCACTCCACAAACTCATCCCATTGCCCACACATCCCTTTGCATACTCTTCCCATCACACCCTATTGCACTCCACAAACTCATCCCATTGCCCACACATCCCTTTTCATATTCTGCCCATCACACTCTATTGTACTCCACAAACTCATCCCATTGCCCACACATCCCTTTGCATACTCTGCCCATCACCCCTATTGCACTCCACAAACTCATCCCATTGCCCACACATTCCTTTGCATACTCTTCCCATCACACCCTATTGCACTCCACAAACTCATCCCATTGCCCACACATCCCTTTTCATATTCTGCCCATCACACTCTATTGTACTCCACAAACTCATCCCATTGCCCACACATTCCTTTGCACTCTGCCTATCACATCCTATTGCACTCCACAAACTCATCCCATTGCCCACACATCCCTTTGCATACTCTGCCCATCACACCCTATTGCACTCCACAAACTGATCCCATTGCCCACACATTCCTTTGCATACTCCGCCCATCACCCCTATTGCACTCCACAAACTCATCCCATTGCCCACACATCTATTGCATACTCCGCCCATCACCCCTATTGCACTCCACAAACTCATCCCATTGCCCACACATCCCTTTGTATACTCCGCCCATCATCCTCTTGCACTCCACAAACTCATCCCATTGCCCACACATTCCTTTTCATATTCTGCCCATCACGCCCTATTGTACTCCACAAACTCATCCTATTGCCCTCGCATCCCTTTGCATACTCTGCCTGCTCAGTTTACTACGATCTATTGTACACTCAATTCTTTGCAAGTTCAGCCCCCAGTCTATCATATTCTTCTACAAACATGTTACAATCTGAAGTTGCCCCACTAAAAACACTGCAGTCTACAAATCCAATACAAACTCCATTCTAAACTTGCTAATTTACAAAATTGTGCAATTTCACAACACATTCCAGTGTACTCGCAGGAATTTGCATAACATAATTTACATAACAAGTGCATACCTATGGAACAGATTCATTACCATTATTGTTTTCTTTAATGTTTGAGCATGGGAAACCAGACGTGCCCAAAGATGTCTGGAGATAACACTACATTCAGTTACACAATATGAGCCAATCTCGATACGAACACAGAGTTAAACCACTGATTAAACATGGAAAATGTGGGGGTTATTAAAATTTTTATAAAGTTCGAAAAG